TTTTTTTTTTTTTTTTTGTTTAATTCGTAGCGCTCGGTTAGCTCCGCCCCCTTTTCCCGCGCGCCCCAAGAGCCACTTGTTTACAGACGCCCACTGTCCTCCACACGCCCTCACATACACGCTGGGACGGTTGGCTCTGCCCCCCGCCGGATCTCATTGGTGGAAACGGGGGATCAGGCAGGCACCGGTTGGCTGGGAGCTGGGCACTCTCCCATGCCGCCTCTCCTCCAGCGAGCGCTCATTGGCCACCACGTGAGGCCGCACAGTTAGCTCCGCCCCGCGGCTACTAATGCGGAGCTCGGGGGCTCGCGACTGTTGGTAGGTGGCTGTTGGGGTCGCATGATGTGGCCGTTAGTGCTGTGGGCGCTGCTGGCGGCGCGAGCCGGGGCCGTTCTGTCGCCGCCGCCGCCTGAAGAGGCGGCGCGCATGGCCCGCTACGTGTTGCACGCCTGCGACTGGGGCGCGCTGGCCACGCTGTCGGCGCAGGACGAACTGCGGGGCCGGCCCTTCGCCAACGTCTTCTCCCTCAGCGATGGGCCGGCAGGGCCGGGCCAGGGCAGCGGCGTGCCCTACCTCTACCTCACCGACCTTGAGGTGTCCGTGCGCGACCTGCAGGTGAGCGCCGCGCCCCTCCGCGGAGCAGGGCGCCGGGTCGTGACACATGAGGCGGCCCCGGAGACGTCACGTAGGGCTTCAGCCCACGAGCGGCAGAGTGCGGCCGGTGACGTCACGTAGGAATCTGCCCCGTCAAAAGAGCTGTGGCTTGCTGTGCTGCTCCAGGAGCTGTGGGACTAGGCAGTGTGACCTGAAGTGCCTGCTTTGCTAGACTGGAGTGAGGAGAGCTTCCCTCGGGAGGGGAATCCCACACTCCCTGTTAATTTAGGCATAAGAACTGCCAGTTATTGGCAGCCAGGGCTTAAATATGAAATTATAGTATTGGAAGCTTAAAACGGTTGTATTTGCTGAAAAACTATCATATGCTGAAAGAATATGAAAATAAGTATGTAAATAAGAATAGGCAAGGGACAGGAAGTGTTTCCAGGTGTAGGATATTTATTGTATTTGTACATTAATTTCAATCCTTGTATGATGAAAGTAAATGTATGCTAATTTTTGAGGCAGCTAATTGATGCAGCATATGGAAAAGCCAAGTAATTCACTTTATATTGCTGATTGTAAGTTGCCAGTGAGTGAATGAGAGCTGGGACATCAAAGTTGATGCATTTCTTTATTTTGAGGCAAGGAGTCCTAAGAAAGTGCTGAGAGTGAACCCAAAAGTCGGTTAAGGTTCCTTGAGAGGAACTTGGGTTCTGCATATGCTTCATCAGTTAGCTGCCTCAAAAATTATGGTACATTTACTACTGTTGATCATACATTGTATAAGGGTTGAAGTTACTGTACCAATTGGATAAATATCGTATACCTGGCAACACTGGTTACTGGGTCAGGTTGTAGGTCCACCTTGCATGGGGACTACAGGGCTGTCTTCCTGTCCCTTGCCTGTTCACGTCTCTGGGTGGAGTTCCACTGGGCAGTATCCCTGAGTTCCTTGGGACTCGTACCAAGGCCAGTGGGGACTGGCCCGTCTGCTCTGTTTGGGGTTCCCCCTTTGCCATACTTGTTCTGTACCGTTTAACCATCGCTCCTGTCCCTGTATTGCATTTTTTGTCTTGGGATTAGTTGTTACTGTCTCAGTGGCCTCCCTTTCTAAGGGAGCCTTATAGTTCTTGGTGGGTAACAGCCCATGATTCCTCAACAGTAACGTCTAGGCCTGTGTCATGTGGTGGCAGGCAACAGATGCTGGAAGGAGGAGTGATCTGGGTATGACCAGGGTTTTTTTTCCATTGTTCCTTTCTCACTTGCAGCCTCCAGCATTTAGGGCCTAGGAAGCTTTGATTCACAAGCTGTCCCTGTATTTTACATGCTCAATAGCTACTGATGCAGCTTTCCTCCAAGCAGTTCAGTGTTAAAAGCACTTTGGTCTGCTGTGGTCTTTCTGAGCAATTTGCAACAGAATTACTTTAGTATTTTGAAGTAGTCAAAAAAAACAGAGAAAGCTAAGACCTGGCATTTTTTTCAGGCGTGTGTTGAATCTGAGAAGGTTGAGAGCCACTAGTCTGTCTTGCGAGTCAGTGTAGGCGCTAATGCTGAGTGGCACCTTCAAAAGGATCTTGCAGCACCCCAGGGTCCTATGGCACTTTGGCTTGGAGTCATTTTTCCACACCCTGTAACTGCTGTCAGCCTTTCTTCAGGAATGGGAATACTCTCCACCACTACAGATCTGAATGCTGGCTGAAATTGCCTTTTGTGCAGTACAGTACCTGGACATACTAAAGCTGCCAAGCACATTTTTTAAAGGTGACATCATGATGCAGAAGGACAAGTCTTTGATCAGCATGTTGTTGGTGGGTACACAGAGGGCTGTTAACTGTGGTCACCAGCACACAGAAATATTACTCTCTGCTTCATTATCCTGAGAGTTTTAGGGCCCTGTCACAGGTCTTGGTTTAGAAAGTACTTGGATGTGCTTGATTGTAGTACAGTTTTCTGAACCATGCAAGGGTGGTACATTTTCTGTTGGGGCAATCCAGGCAACTAATATAGATTTGTGTAGGGCTGTAAATGTGCTCAAGTATCCCATCTGTATCTTGTGGGATTGGATTCGGAGGATTCATTAAAGCTCCTCCTCCCCCAAATTCTGTAAACAGACTGTGTGCCATGTTCACCAAAATGACTGTCTTTTGAAGCCACTAAGATTCTGTCCTCTCCTCAGAAGTCAAGGAGCAAACATACTAAAAACGCTCCAGTAAGTAAGTGCTGAAGGGCCAAAAGGGGATTCTGAACAAAGAAGTGGTGGATTGCTGAACTTCCAGAGAGAACAGACAGGGAAGGCTTGGCATCAAATAAGACACGAAAGGACCAGCAAGCTGAAAGCTGGGGCTGTTGTTGAGTATTAATAACTCTAAATTCTATAGACTTGATCAATAAGGCAAGCCAACAACAAAAGATGTTGGAGAAATCTTGGGTATGCTGGAAGTCAGAGTACAAGTAACAAACCAGTGTCCATAGTCCTTTCCTGTCTAGCTCCTTACAAGTCAGCCAGGGCAGCACAGTGCCCAGGGCAGCCCTGATGCAGAGAAGCAGTGGAGACTTCTGGCTGCTGTCATGCTGCCAGCACAATTGTGTGCGTGCAGCAGCAGGTACTGTTGTTTTTGTTGTTGCACCTCATCCCCCTAATTTAGCACCCAATTTACCCTGCCTTAGCTACAGTACTGATTGCACCCTTCCTTAAGTCGCTGTTCTAGGGTGTTTGAGAAGATAATTACAGTTAGTTACATCATCTAATGGAAGAATCAATTAGAGAAGCTTTGTGCACTAGTCACTGCTGTTTCCTCAGTTAAAAAATCTGAATAGTGGTAGAAGCCTGATCCAACTGTATTAGAAGCCTTAGATGCAAGAGTGAGGAACCCTTAGTGATGATATATTCAGTGGCTTTCTTTTCCTCATTTCAGTTTTCCTTTTTGAAAAAATGGACCTGCATTACTGTTCTCCCCATGTTCTTGTGTTTCTTATTCGGTGAATGCCAATTTGCCTCTTGAATTTTATGTCTAGTACACATCATGCTTTGCATCTTGAACCTACTCTTGTTAATTTATTTTATGGTGAAATAGTTCAGTTTATGGGATTTTATTTATTTATTTATTTATTCATTATTATTTTATTATTATTATTATTATTATTTGTATCCTGCCTTATCCAAAGAGGCTCAGTGCAGTTTACAACAACAGACCAACAACTTACAAGATAGCATTGTATTTTATGACCCCTCCCTCCCCAAATTGACATTAAATTAGATTATGCTGGTCTAATAAACTTTCCTTCAGAAAGCTTGGCAACAAATGCTGTATATTCTTATCTATATTCTTATTTTGCAGTTTTTTGGTTTACTATCGCATGGAGACTTCTGCCAGCAGATAACACCAAATAACCATGATTCAGCTTTTTTGTAGCTGACAGTGCAGATTCAGTTGCTTATCCTGTGAGAGCTATGTAATTTCATAAGTGCAGTGGGATATTGCAAAGTGCACAGTTCACTCTTTTGCTGAGCTTTTTAGTAAAACTTCCCAAATGCATGTTGAAATCTTGGCTGTGTGAGGGAAAGGGAGAGATGAGCTTGTATAAAGTTGTAGTCAGAAATGAGTATCTTGACTGTATTAAGAAAACTGGAAACTTGCTCAGACCTAGACAAAGTTTGCACAAATTATATCTTTTTGACCGGGTTAGATGTAAAAAAAATGACAGAGCTATGTTCATTTTGAGACCTAATGTAAATATGTAGGCCTCAGATAAACATCTTAATTCTCACTTCACCTGTCATAAACCTATTGAATTGTTTCCCTTCTTGATGTACTTACTCTTCAGCCTAGGGGTTTTTGCACTGGTATAGATAAAGGCACTCCAGTGTAAAGTAGGGCTTGTACTAGTGCAGTTTGTACACTAAACCAGTTTCAGATAGAGTATATTGAAGACTTTGGTGTAATTAATTTAGTCGGACTCTCAAATTGACCTTAAAATGTCCTTAAAGACACTAACCCTAGAAATCACATTTTGGCAAAAAAAAAAAAAATAGGTGTCCTGGCCTGGATTTCTACTATAGAAACTCTTTAATATAAATTTCTTGAATTTACTTTCACTAAATAGCAAGATTTACTTGCACACATTGACAGCCAATAAATATGACTTTTCATGGTTAAAATCATCTCTAGTCAGGTTTTTATAACTTTGTGGGAGGCAGACATTTTATGCTGTTTTTAAGCTAGGTACAATTTCTTACATCTAGTAGAGAGTGGTGGTGGATGTGTCGGTATCGACCTGGAATGATGTGGGCAGTGGGTTCCCACAGGGCTCGGTCCTTGGACCTGTACTCTTCAATGTCTTCAGCAGTGATTTGGATGTGGGTGTGAAATGTACTCTGTTTGCAGATGATACTAAATTGTGGGGTGAAGTGAACACACTGGATTGCAGGAGGACCTGGACAGGTTGGAAAAGTGGGCAGAACATAATAGGATGCAGTTCAGCAAGGGCAAATGCAGAGTGCTGCACCTAGGGCACAAAAATATCCAGCACACGTATTGGCTGGGGAATGACCCTCTCAGCAGCACAGAAGCGGAAAGGGATCTCTGAGTCATAGTGGACTTCAAGATGAACATGAGTTGTCAGTGAGACAAAATCATCAGCAAAGCTAACTGCACTTTATTATGCATTAGCAGATGCATGACAGAGAGAACCAAGGAGGTGATACTTCCCCTCTGTCCATCACTTGTCGGACTGCAGTTGGAGTACTGCATCCAGTTTTGGGCACTGTACTTTAAGAAAGATGTGGATAATCTTGAGAGGGTCCAGAGGAGGGCCACTCATATAGTTAAAGGTTGGCATGCCAGGCCCTATGAGGGGAGACTAAGGGATCTGGATCTCTTCAGCTTCCACAAGAGAAGGCTGAGAGGTGATCTTGTGACCGCCTACAAATTCATTAGTGGGCTCAGCAAGGAACCGGAGATGCTTTGTTCACCAGGGCACCGCTTGGGGTAACAGGAACAGTGGTCACAAACTGACAGAGAGCAGATTTAGGTTGGACATCAGAAAGAACTTCTTCACAGTAAGGGTGGCCAGAATTTGGAATGGGCTTCCAAGGGAGGTGGTGCTCTCCCCTACCTTAGGGGGCTTGAAGGGAAGGCTGGATAGGCATCAGGCTGGGGTCATGTGACCCCAGCACTCTTTCCTACCTAGGGCAGGGGGTTGAACTCAATGATCTGTTGAGGTCCCTTCCAACCCTAGCATCTATGAATGAAGTTGGGTACCTTTTTTAAATTGTTGAGGTTATTTTCAGCTTGCTTCCCCCCTCCCCCCCTTGGGATTCAAGCTGGGTTTTTAAAAGTTGCTTCAGAGTTTAGTGGAGTTGACTGTCAAAGGATAGTTGTCTCTTGATGGAAGTAACTTTGTTTGAAAGTAATATTGACCTGCTGATCTGATATGCAAGAAGTTGGGTAACTATCATTTAACCATATTGTACTATTGATCCTTTCTCCAGAATAGACTTGGCTGTATACACTGCAACTTTTTTTTATTTTGTGGAATATTCTGCATGCACGGGATTTCAGATTGGAACGTTCTAGTTTGTGAGAGATTTGCAACTATGCCTGATCACTTTTACTAGTGGTGTAGTTATACAGTCTTCCAGATTTATTCAGAGTCATTTTGTTTAGGGTGGCTTTGGATGAATAATATTACTGGGAAAAGCTGATGATAACGTCTAATTCTGAATACTGCATTGAGTTTAATTTGAAAAATGCCTTGTTATTTTCAAAGGAATGCAAACTTATTTCTGTATATTTGTATTGGGATAGCTTTGTAATTAAACTTACTACTTGTGTTTCAGGTGAATGCAAATGCTTCCCTAACAGTGTCTTTAGCACAGACTCCTTACTGCAAGAAAAACAAGTATGATCCACAGAATCCCTTGTGTGCCCACATAATCTTCGCTGGGACTGTTATAAAGGTCAGTGGCTTTAAGTTAGCTATTCATAAAGTTAATGGTCTTTTAGTAAAGAGATGTATAAACTTCTGTACAGAAGTATCATGTTACTTGCTAGTCAAGAAAGATTCAGGCTGATTTAAAGATTCATACTGAGCCCTGCGAGGCCAGGGGTGGGCAATTATTTGGGCTTGCAGGCCAGTAGTGGGTACTCCTGTGCTGAGCCACACACCTCACTGAGTCTGACCACCTTCCAGGCTCAGAGTGCCTCCCTGGGGGTGCCTCACGCCTGGCCGACCCCCTTCCTGGAGCACACCTGCAAGCCTGGGGGTAACGTCACCACCACACAGGACACAGGATCTGGACTTACCTTGGCCCTGTGCCCCCTGGGTAACACAGGCCTAATAGTCCTTGAAGGGTACTTGACCCACTGCAAGAACTTGGGGTGCTTTCCTCGGTCTGAAGCACAAATAGTGGTCTCCGTTAGGCAAACAAACTAAAGGGACCCCAAGGCATAATCTAGACCCTCTCCCAATAAGTCTCCCACACTAGGTACCGAGGAGAACTTTATTGGTTATAAGGAGTAGGTTTGGAATAGGACGGGGTAGAGCAATATCAGAGGAATACCTTAGAGCAAACAGTGGCATGGTAGCCTTTGATCATGCATCTGAGTTACTGCAAGCTATAGATCTAGTTAGATCTCAGATTGCCTGATTCTGGATGATACTCGTGAGTAAGCTGAGATTCCCTCTGGAAGCAAGCAGATCACTGAACACAAGTTTCAAGAGTGAGTTTTTCAGATGGTCCAGCTTCTCTGAGAGATTTTGGTGAGCTGGTGCAGGTTGGGTCAGCAGCCGCCGCACTTCCTTCCCCTCCCTCCCCCAAGCTCTGCAAAAGGCTTTAGTTCTGTGGGCAGGGGTGTACAGGTAGCAGATCATGGCTCAGCCCCAGCCCTGTGCTGTCACTGGAGACTGGCCAGGACCCACGCAGCAGGGTGTGCGGCCAAGTTGGATGAGATGGAGCCACAGGCAGCCAGGGAGCTGTGTCCAGGCCAGGTCTAGGATACTGGGGGAGTGACAGTGCAGGGTTGGAGCCTGGGGCAGAGCTGTAATTTGCTTTCCACATGCCCCTGCCTGTGGAACCCACACCTATTGCAGGGCCATGTGGGCAGCAGATCATGGCTTGGCCCTGGCCCTGTGCTGTCACTGGCCTGTGATTCCAGTCTTACCTGCCTGTCCTGCTCCTGAACACTGCTTCCCTCCCTGCCCGTGGCTCCATTCCAGTCACCTGGCTGTGTGTCCTGCCTGTACAGGTTCTGCTCCTGGTGGTGGGTATGGGGCAGACAGGTTGAAGTACCTGGGCAATGTGGCCTTGTTTGGTGGTGGTAGTAGCTGGAAGGAGCTTCTGTTCCTGCCACTGCTAGGAAGTGAGTGTGGCTATGCTGCCCCAGGCCTGCTGTGCACCTGGAGGATGGTGGGACCAGCCGTACCCACCACAACCTGGGGTGCCCCCTGTGTCTGGGCTGGGTGGGACAGGGACCTGCTGCAGGCTGGACAGAATCCCTCAGCAGGCCAGATTGTCTGTGGGCTGCATTTTACCCACCCCTGGGCCAACCCATAGTTGTGTAGGATGATGAAAGGATCTCTTCTGACCAATACTTGGTATCACAGAAGGGACCTAGAACTAATTCTCCAGAGTTGTCTTTGGTAGGAATCTTGAGGCGACTGCTGCAAGTGGAGGAAGACTTTCTACTTCCTTAGACTTTGTAAAGCCCAGTATATCTAAGTTGGTCCCCTGCCAGTGCAAAGTAACTTTCAGCAATGTTAACTGATGGGGCTAATGCACCTTTAAATGACTTGAGTGATTAGGTTTTTTCAACTTTATTTAGCTGACAACATAGCTGCTCAAAATGCAAAAGACATAATACATTATCTATTTAATATTGCTGCTGGTGTGGTATTGTTCCTTACTCTCTTTATAGGGGCTTTAAATCTAATTTGGTGCCCCACTGGAAGCTTTTGTTATTGTACTACTTGTTCAGCTTAAATCTTTCCCTTAATTAAATTCTGTTATCAATTATGATTATTTCTGCTTAGACAGTATTCTAAATTATGCTTACTTGGTATGTTAACCCATCAAGTATTTGATGCATTCTCCAAACCTCTTAATTTTTGTACCGCGCTTAACTCTGTCATTCTTTGTTCTCCTTTTCCCCAGTCTCTTTGCTTTTTATTTGAGCTTTCCCCAGTTTTTCAATATCTGTCTAGAAGTCACATGCCCAGGAGATGCAATTGCACCTAAAATAACAGTAATTCGTCAGAGTCATATAGGAAGGACGTGCTACTTGTCTGATTTCTTTGATTTGGTACTGCTGCATATGCAGTTCAAAAATCAGACTAGCCTCTGGTTGCTTAGACTTAAATTTGTAAAGCAGCAAACTTCTTGTACACTATAGGTGTTGTTACATGTGCTCCGGGGAGCGGAACGGGGAAGACTTTAATTAGAGTGGCTCCAAGAGCCACTTTAATTAAAGCTCCCACAGTGTCTTGTGCATCAGTGTCCCCATGCTTCAAAATGGTGACAGGAACACTTTTAACTAAAGCTCACTCAATGGACTTTGAAGCATAGGGACGCTGATGCACAAGATGTGGAGGCCTGCTGGAGTGCGTTAATTAGTATGCTTCAGCAGACTCAGTTAATCGAGCCTGCTCTGATACGCTGTAGTTACAGTGTGTGAGAGCATCCTCCCTATATGTGTGTAGGTACCCTGTAGCTTTAAATCTGCATCCATCATATTCTGCTTAATAAAAGTTTCCCAGTATTGCATGCTGTAATTTAGTCCCTCTTTTTTTTTTTTAATTCAGTTTTTCTGTAGTTTAAGTGCTAACATTCTTCAAAGAGCTGCAGCCCCCCCAAGATTCATTATAAACTTATACTAATATATCAAATTACTGAACTGCTACAGAATTTATCAGCAAAAACATTACCATCAGGCTTTAATTTGTCTAAATGAGTAGTTACTGCTGTTGGTTGTCATATCATCATAAGTGCATCTGGCACCTTTTGACAATGAATTTTAAAGCCTCTGGGCTTTACAGGAATTAGCCTTCTTTTAACTTGCACCGAAGCATATTTGTATGTCTGTAATGCCACCTTATTTACTTCCTATCCTCATGCTTCTTAAAAGTTGTTGGTTTGTTGTTTTTTTTATCAAGACCTAAACATTTAATTATTTGAAAAATAAAAGTGAGTTAAGCACCATCTCTTGGACTTTTCTAAAGCAATACCTGCTTCTCCTCATTTGTCATCATCTAGTCTTCTGTCTCAAAGCTTCATCTATAATGTTTCAAAGGTGGCGTATATGTGTGCATGTGTTCAGGCTGGAGCCTGTCTTCATATTCAAAACCAATAGTTGAATCTGTCATCAGAATGTCCCTTCCCTCTTTTAGGTTGGTGGCTATAGTATTTTGGAGGAATAATTACCAGATGTAGACATCACAGAATAGTTATTTTTAATGAGTGCTGGTAGCTGCCAAAAATCAAACCCAGCTGGTGGGTGTGAACAGGCTATATCATGAGTCCTCTATAATAATAAATGTAACAAAGTGCCAGCTTGTGGCTGCAGCTGGAAAAAGCACATTGCAGTAGAGTTGTCTTTGAGCGTAGTTTATCGCTTATTGAAGAAGTGATCATTTGTAATACGTTGCTGGTTTCTGTTTAGGTGAGTGACACAGAATCGGGTTTAGCAAAACGAGCATTATTCACTCGACACCCTGAGATGGAAAGCTGGCCTCGAGATCATAACTGGTTCTTTGCCAAATTCAACATTACCAATATCTGGGTACTGGACTACTTTGGTGGCTTGAAAATTGTGACCCCAGAGGATTATTACAGTGTCAAACCCTAGTAAGTACTGAAGTTTGTTGTATAACATTTTTGTCATAATTGGAGATAAGTATTCCTATAAGTTTGTATAAATAAATTCATACATATGTTAATTCTTCTTATTGGGAAGTCATCCATTCTACCTGATGATTGGAGAGAAGTCTTAATATATCCTGTCTTCAAAAAAGGCAGCAAACTGGAGTGTGAAAATTAAAGGGATGCTGCCAAATTAACAACTACCAATAAAGTACTGTCTGACGTGTTGCTCCACCACTTATTACCTGATGCAGAAAAAATGGGAGAAGACCAGTGTGAATTCCACAAGAATAGATTGATGATAGACCAAATCTTCTCACTAAGGTAGTTGAGAGAAAAATGGGAATATATTAAAAATGTACACATTCTGTTCATATATTCCAGAAAGCCTGTGATACCACACACAGTCTGAGGGCTTTAGTAGCTGAACTGGGCATTCCAAGAAAAGTCAAATTGAACTCTTTTTAAAGTTTGTATGCAGAATTAGCATCTGTGGAAGAAATTTGGACACCTTCCCAATGAGAACTGGATTGAGGCAGGAGGGTGGTCTATTTCTGATCCTATTCAATCTGGCACTGGAACAAATGATCTGGAGCATAAACAACATGAGGGGAGTTAATCTGAATGGAGATCATAAAGTCCTGACATATGCTGCTGATTTATCTTTCATAAGTGCAAATATGAATGATACAAAGTCTATACTTGACTAACAACTAAAGCAAAGAAAGTTGGACCGCAAGTGAATGTCGATTAAACACAATCTGCTGGTAAACAGAACCCTAATAAATCAGAAACCTGATGTAACAATAAACAGTACAAATTTTAAACGAGTGACTCACTTCATATATTTAGACCCCATCATAGCACAGGAAAGGAAGAATGGAAGCAGGAATTAGAACCTACTTTGCATTGCACAAGCTCCAGTCATCCAAGCTCATCCAAAGGAAGACTAAGCTTCAAGTCTATAAAATCCTAATCAGGCCCTATAGAACCTCTGGCAGTTGAGCCTAGGTTCTCCCACAAGGAAGTGGGATACTACTAGATAGTTTTAAGAGAGATTTTTAAAGAAAATCTTTGCGCAGTGAGAACCCATAACATAAGAATGGTACAAGAACCAATAATGAGTAATATCAATTGTACAGAGAGACAACCCTGACACACACAATTAGCACAACGATTACAATGCCTGGGCCACACTGAAGGAATGGAACCAGTTGAGACACCAAAGAAAATGTTCCTTGTGGTACTGGAGAAGAGAAGGCTGCCTGGATGACCAAAGCAAAAATGTTTCGATGATATAGTATCAGACGTATGGAAATTAAATGTGGACAACTGGAGAACAAAGGCACACAGATGAGAATGGATGAAGGTAGTGGAGGCAGCCAGTGACCTCTAGGGCTTATAATACTAACTTGTTGCTGTTGTTAATAATATACTGTTCCTATAAGGGTTTCAAAGTTTCCCATACATATAGTGCACATGCACTGTCCTCTTAACTCTTTTTTTTTTTAATGTTTGTTAATGTCTTTCCTAAACTAGTTTACTTGATTTTATTTATTTATTGGTCCCTTCTGTAAAGTTGTCATAACAATCATACTTTGTTGATCAGTCCCTGACAAACAAGCTTTCCCAATTGTTATTGTTCCTTTCTCCTAGCCATCACTTTCGTATATCTTGAAAAGTAATTGAGCATGGATTGCATCTATTTGTAATTTTTAACCAGTGAAGTTTTACTGTATGTTGCAATACAAAAACATTTTGGGTTCTTTTCTATAAGAATGAACAGGTAATTGCAGTTATACAAATGCAGGTGTCCTATTAGTACCTCCAACTTAAAAAGAATTTAATGTAGGAAATTTCCTTTGGCATGAACACTGAAGCAGTTTACTGCACTTGGATTAAATACGGGGTGGAAAGTATCTTAGTCCAATAGGTAAGAATTATAAGGATACTTGTTTGCATTTAGGAGATGCGAATTTTTAATTTTTAAAATTTTTTTGCTGTATCACTTGTGATCTGTGTTGGCCTGTCCTGAAGCGGAGTTTTCAAGAGAACTTCTGAGTTGTATATGGCATTTACCAATGCCAGGATGTCCAGACAATCTGCTGCATAGGCCTGGGATACATAAGGCTTCAGAATGACATTCCAGATGCTTTAGAATACCTTTAATCTTAAAGTATATTCAATTTAATTTTTATTTTTACCCTTGTAGGTAGAAGAATACTGTGGATGATCGTACAAACGAACCTTTTGGCTCTTTCCTGTGCTTTCTATTTGAAATTATTTCCCACTGAGTCAATAATGAACTGAACCAATAATGAAAAATTGGATTCCTTCTACTTTTTTTTTTTTTAAATTGGCTTACTTTGGGTGTATCCCCATTTCTTGTGATCCTGTTACTGAGACTTACTGGCAGGTATTCATGAAAACGAATCTTCAAACCATATGTTCTATTGCAGAAGGGATGTTTATTCAAGCTGGGCTGGTTATTTGTATGTCTAATATTCCCCAGATTCTACAAGCTCAATCCACAGTTTTAAGTAGTTTGGTTTATTTGTTCCATACAACAATTTGCCTGTGTGCAATCTGCAAGCAGACTATGCAGGCTTATCTGAAACTAATGCATTGGCTTAGCGCTCTACATGTGCCTTACTTAAATCGCATGTGTTTGTAGTATATTTAAAAATATTTTAACCAAAATTAGCTTTGTTTTGCCTTTTGAGGCAGAGTAAACTAGCCAACTGAATTCTGCAGAGTTACTTTCATATATAATGTGTAGAGTGCTGCTTCCACCAAGCTAGAGAATGACAAGCTGGGAACCTGCAATCTCTGAAAACCTTGAACATTGAGCAGTGCAATTGTAATCTGTTCTGCTACCTACACAGCACTCATTGCTGTAATATGACTGTCTTTATGCAAATCAGACATGATCCTCTGGTTCCTGGTAAGTTGCTAGCACAGCATTTAGTTGGGGGATGTTTATGTGTCCTTGTTCTTCAGATTCAAGTTATGGCTAGGAAAGTGTCTTTTTACATATAGCTCTTGGGGTTGTGTTGTTTTATTTTTCCTGAAAAAATTTAATCCATCCTCACTTTTTCTCAGCTTCTACTTGGAAGTCACTTACTCACTCTGTTTCCCCTACCGTGTGTTTTGGCTTCTGGATTTAGTGTAACCACTTTAACAAACACTGTTTAATACTAGAATCTGAATTATGAAGGGAATCCACTTGCCTTATAAAGCAGCTGTTGGCATAACAACTTCCTTGTTCCTTCCCCCAATAATAGAACTCATTTTATGAGGGGTTTGTTTGGAGGCTATAAGATACTTCTTGTTGAGCAGCCCAAAAGTAGAAGAAAATTTTATGAAATGTGACGACTTACCAATATGAAGTTGGCTTACATTAATGAGAACACTTCCCTTTTTGTACTTTTAAAATATCCTACTGAAGAATACAATCAACATATGAAATAAAACATTTTTTATCCTATCTGTTTTCACAAAAAGCTGGAAGAAAGGGTCATGTTAGAATAAATTGAGTTCAGCATGAAGATAACTATCTAGGGACTGGTTCTCAGTCTTCTTGGACTTGATGCACCCCTAGATAGATGTGGGGAACTCCTCACAAAATGCCAGCTCTTCATTTTTTCTGTAGGCAAAAATAAGTGAAAATAATGGAGCGATTCTTCTTCTGTTGCAAAGAACTCAAAGACCACAACAGGGCACGATGTTTTTAACATTACTGATTCCTACCTGAAATCTCTCTATTTACCTTGCTAACGTTGTATGGCACCTTTGAAAGGATCTCCAGGCACTCCAGGGTGCTACAGGATCTTAACTGAGAATTGCTGATCTAGGGCCTAGGTTAGAGTAAGGGACATGGGAATGGGGACTCCTTAGTTAATGGCAGACCCAGAAATCATGGTGTGTTTGTTTGTTTGTTTGTTTGTTTGTTTGTTTGTTTGTAGTTTTTTCTTTTTTTGTAAGTAATCAATCTGTTACATGCAAAAACTTTTTCCTCCTTTGTAAGACAAAAAGCTGGCACTTTTCCCTAAATTAATTTATGAAAATATATGAAAAGATCTTTGTTTTGGTGGTTTTTAAAGAAATGAAGAACTTTTGTGATATTTTTATGCTATACAGATTCATTGCAATGTTTCTCAAGTGGGATCTTGCATATATTTTTTGTGATTCATTGTAAATCACTCTGATTTTTAAGATTAACTAGTGGTGCTGGGTCTTGATTAAAATCTATTTTTTATGATAAATGGTGTCTGTTTTTATTTTATTACACAGTTCAGGGATTGCTGGGGTTTCCATCCCATTTTTGTCATTCTGCTGTCTGCCTGCTGTCAGATGAGTCACGTTTGCCAAGCTAAATGGAGAAACTGATCTTTCAAAGCCTGGCCTCCACTTAATCAGTTGCCTTCTTATTTTACTTTATCATACTTATTCCTTCTGCACGCTGCTGCCATTCTGCTGCGAAGTAGGACATCAGATGGTGACTTGTGGTTAGAACATATCATTTACAACCCCCGCCCCCCACCCCCAGGCCTACAGGTGATGGAATTCTGTAGGGAAGAACTACTTGGGTCAATTCTTGATTTATATAAGCAAGTTTTAATTTGATCATTTGCCCTGGTATATCCATCACACTTAAAATAGTTCCACTAATTATATTATCTACCACCAGTATTTCTTTTCTTTGTATTTTTTCTTCTTCACATAAACTTATACTTGGTAAGTTGCTAATAGCAATTTGCTTGGTTATCTTCATCTTTTGTGCGTTAACCTGCTAAGAATTCTTTTTAGTTCTGAGCCCTTAAATCTATTATAGACAACACCACCTCCTC